CATGTCACTGTGGTCTGAGAAGATGCTTGATATGATTTCAATCTTCTTGAACTTGTAGACTTGTTTTGTGTCCTAACATGTCATCTATCTTTGAGAACGCCCCATGTACACTTGGGAAGAATGTATATTCTGAGCTTTGGGGTAGAATGTTCTGTAAATGTCAATTAAATCCATCTCATCTAGTGTGTCATTTAGGCTCGCTGTTTCCTTGTTGATTTTTTTCTGGAAGACCTATCCAGTGAAGTCAGTGAGGTGTGAAACTCCCCTAGTATGACAGTATTAGTGTCAATCTCTCCCTTAAAGTCATCTCGAATTTTTTTTATAAATTTAGGTGCTCCTATATTGGGTGCATATGTGTTTATCAGGGTATATCCTCTTGTTGGATTGATCCCTTTAGTGTTATGTAATGACCTTTCTTGTCTCCTCTTATGGTCTTCGTTTTGAAGTCTCTTTTGTCAGACATGAGTATTGCTGCCCCAGCTTTTTTTTCATTTCCGTTTGCATGGANAAGTCTATTTTGTCAGACATGAGTATTGCTGCCCCAGCTTTTTTTTCATTTCCATTTGCATGGAATTTTTTTTTTTCATCCCTTCACTCTCATCCTGTGTGTCTTTTGTTCTGAAGTGGGTCTCATGTAGACAGCATATATTTGTGTCATGTTTTCTTATCCATTCAGCCACCCTATAAATTTTTATTGGGGCATTTATTCCATTTACATTTAAGGTTATTATTGAAAGGTACTTATCTACTGCCATTTTGTTTCTTTATGCCTACGTTTCTCATTCTCTCTATTTCTACTTCTAATTATAGGAGTCCCTTTAACAGTTCCTGTAGTGCTGGTTTGGTGGTGATAAATTCCTTTAGCCTTTTTTTTGTCTGGGAAGCTCTTTATTTCACCATCTATCTTGATTAATAATCTTGCTGGATAGAGGAGTCTTGGTTTCAGATCCTTGTTTTGCATTACCTTGAATACTTCATGCCATTCCCTCTGCCTGTAGAGTTTCTGAGGGGAAGTCAGCTGATAGCTTTATGGGAGCTCCTTTGTAGGTAACAGATTGCTTTTCTCTAGTTTCCTTTAAGATTCTCTCTTTGTCTTGAATTCTTGGCATTTTAATTATGATGTGTCTGGGCGTGGACCTCTTTGGATTCTTCTTGCTTGGGACTCTCTTTGCCTCCTGAACTTGTGTAACTTTTTCATTTACCAGGTTAGGGAAATTTTGTGCCATTATTTCATCAAACAGGTTCTCTAACCCTTGCGNCTCCTGAACTTGTATAACTTTTTCATTTACCAGGTTAGGGAAATTTTCTGCCATTATTTCATCAAACAGGTTCTCTAAGCCTTGCTTACTTTCGACCTCCTCTGGCACTCTTATAATAAAAATATTGTCATGTTTCATGCTGTCCCATAGCTCCCTTAACTCACCTCCTGTTTTTTAATTGTTTTTTGGTTTGGGGTCTCTGATTGAGTGATTTTTTTCTACCCTGTCTTCTAATTCACTGATCTGATCCTCAGCTTCCTCTAATCTGCTCTTTATTCTTTCCAATGTATTCTTTATTTCTGCTATGTCATTCTCCATTTCTGACTGGTCATTTTTCATAGTTTCCATATCTTTTTTCATGCTGTAGAGCATTGTTACAATCAGTATTCTGAACTCTATATCTGAGAGATTGGTTATCTCTACTTCATTTAGCTCTTTTTCTGGAGACTTCTCTTGTTCTTTCATTTGGGGCTTGTTTTTTGGTCTCCCCATTTTGGCTACTTTTGGGGGGGTTTTTTATGTGTTAGGTAGATCTACTAGGAGACTCAGTCTTTTTGGATGGTCTCTGGTACAGTCCAATGTCAGACGCAGTTTGTGACTGGCCCTTAGTACCCTGTTTGGAGCTATCAATAACCCTAGGCTTGAGGTCTCCACTGCTGGGGCTGGGTGTGTTTGGACAGGACCAAGATGCACACCAAAGTCTGCTTTTCCAAGGCCCGTCCCGAAGCAGATCAGGCAAAGACTCAAAGCACCCTGAGGCCTGCCTCTGCCTTCAGGCTGATTAATCTGATTCTCTTAATGAGCCTCAGGCAGTAGAAGCTCCACAGTGTGGGATGACTGGTTGTTATCAGTCTCTTAACAAGCCTCAGGCTGTAGAAACTCCTCTGGGCAGGGCAAGAGGCTTTCCAGCAGGGTGGGGCAATTGCTTTCCCCCTCAGGCAAAAGACGAAAATTCGCTGCCTTGAGAAAGATGTCCTCCACAGTCTGGGGGAATGACTCTCCCCAGACTCTCCCCACACAGCTTTAGTCTACTCTACTCCCCCTCTGCCGGAGCCCAAGGTGAGTGGCTGCTCAGGACACTTTGTGAGTTGGCTGTTTAAGAGAGTGCCTGCAGTTCCAGCTGCCTCTCCCTGGCAGACAGAAACCCAGCTGCTTTTCACAGCCAGATGTTATGTGGGTACCTTTCTCAGTTCTGGTGCTCTGGGCTGGGGGAGCCCAGCCTGGGATTTAGGCTCCAGAGTCCTCTGTGGGAACCCCCACAGCTGAGACCTCCCTCTGGGCCTTCAGCTACTGCCTGCGGGAGCCGGGCCAGCCCTCTCACATCCATACTTCCCACCAGTCCCTGTGTGGTCTCCCCTTTTCCTCCTTGGCTATGAGGGTGCCCTCCAGCTTGTTTTCAGTTGGTTTTCAGGATGTTTTTTTCTGTGTTCTAGTTGTGAATACATATTCGTCCCGGGAGGGTGTCAGTGTAGCTTCCACTCAGTCTGCTACAATCTTGGATCTCCTATACTTCTTATTTATGTAATTTCCGTGAGGAAATGGTTATGCTTTATACAGCTATAGATCTCTCCTACCACCCAATACATGCAAAGATGCTTAGCAGTTGTTTGTTACATGAATGATTCAGTGAATGAGTAATAGTTTCATAGATAAGTACATTATAGAGTAGTTAACATACACAGTCGTAGTAAAATAAATACCCTATAGTACAGCAATGTCACTCTTTGTACCGTTTCTCCAGGCTTATACCACAACCAACATCTTCGCTTGGCAACTCTAATGAGCCACCCGCCACAAAATTGAGGAAGAACACACCTTTTTGGTAAGTAGCACGTACATTTTTTAATCTGAATGAAGTAAGAAAGCTAATGTTTATGCCTCCATTTTGATGAAAACCCTATTTTGTAAAATTTGTACACGTTCAGAGGTATTTTCCTGTAAGTCAAAGGGAATTGATGAGAAAAAGTTTACAAGAAAATTGTTATTTCTTAAAGACATTAGCGCAAGATCTTTCTGTTTTGACACAATGCTGAGGTGATTTTCTATATGTCTGGAAGGAATTTACCCCCCAGTGGATCATTACAGCCCATCCTCTCCACCTTCCTCTGCCCACCTCCACTGGAGTCTATTACAGTCATAACTTCTAACACTGCAAATTAGTTTCCCCCATTTTTTACATTTTATGTGAATGGAGGGACTATCCTTTTAAATGACTTAAAAATAAAGACAAAAATTAAAAAGTGAGCATAAAGGCCAAGTGATTTTGCATTTATGTAACAGCTGTTTTGCCAGATGATTTGACAGCTAATTGGAGTCATATTGCTTTTATTCTTAAGCCCAGCAAATATCACCTTGTTTTAATTGAGGGTCACTGCTGATTAAGCACCCCACTCAGGTGTTTCCTCATATCTGTGCCTAATAAATTACAGCCTGGCCAAGATTGGAAGAGGTGTTCATCACCTCACATGTTAGAGCAACTGTCGTTTATAATTAGAGTAAAAGATTCCTCTTAGCATTGACTGATTAAATGGGAATTAACATAAGATGAAGATTTTGAATGGTTCTGAAAGGCACCAAAAAAAATAGGTAGAGGCACACTAAGATCAACTGAAGGCTCAATAACACATTTGTCAAAGGCTGTATTTTATTTAGCATAATAAGTAAGAAAGGGGATACTGTTTATTTATTTCCAGAGAGAAAACAGGCTTTCCAGTTATCTATTCTAGAGAGGGCCTTCCTAGACCCTCCTCATCTCTGTTAATTTATAAGCATCTTCCCAAGATACAGCAATTAAACCCTAACACTTCGATGTGTCATTTAATGATTCAGATAGTATCTTAGTGATTGAGATCCTGGAGAGAAAGACTTAAGTTTCTACTTATCCTAAATTTCCAGAAAAATTGTTGTTGCCAAATCTCTTTTACATTGTTATTAAATGATATCACTTCTCTTTCTTTCTTAATTTTCACGTTAGGGCAGCTTCTGCCTTTTTTGAAAATAATTTCTTTTCCAAATCATCTCTTTACATTCAGTATCATTAATGATCTACAAATCACAGCACAGTAGTTGGTTTCATCTTGTCTATGATGGGCTATTAATCTGCTGCCCATAGAAAGGTCTTGACTTTGCTCCTAAACGTTACGATACACTCAGGTTTAGAGAGACCTGCAGTCCTCCATGTGCCTACATCATTTTAACGTGGAATCATCTTCATGTCAATTTTGCATGCAAGAAAAACATTTAATGTGTATTTCCTAATCAAGTTTTATTTAAAACTGTTCAGTGGGCTTTTGAGTATCTCAAAGAATATGTATGCTATAAAGCATTTAACAACTTGGAATATTAAAATTGGTATTAAAAGATGCAATTAGGCAGTATTCAACTTTTTAAAACAAAAATAGCCACTTAGAATATAATTCCATTCAATTATTAACATATATAAGTGTGAAAAACAGTAAGTTCTTTCTGGAATGAAGGTGGGGACCCTCTCTAACCACTGCCCCACCCAAAGACAGCCAGTCTGATTTCTGTCATGGAGATTAGAGATGCTAATCACTGAACTTCCTTTAAGTGTGATCATACAATGGGTGCTTTTTCGTTTCTGGCTTGGTCTTTCATTCAATGTAATGTTTTTGCGTTTCATCTCTGTTGTTGAGTATAATAGTTTGTACATACTTTTAACAGGTGAGTAGTATTCCATTGAATTAATATGCTACAATATTTTAGACTGTTTGTCTATTGGCTACTTGGGTTGTTTCCAAGTTTTACATATTACATATAAAGCTGTTACAAACATTTTTGTGGAAGTCTTTTGTGGCCATAGGTGTCCATTTTTATTGGGATAATACAGAGGAGCGGGATTTCTGGGTCAAGGGCAGGTGTGTGTTTAACCTCATAGCAACCACCTAACAGTTCTTTATAGTCTTTGTTCCACTTTACACTCACACCAGAAATGCATGAGAATTCCATTTGTCCCAAATCTTCACCAACATTTGATGTTATTTGTCTTCTGGATTTTAGTTTTTCTTGTGACCCCACTGTGGCTTTAATTTGCATTACTTTATGATTAATGATGCAAGCATGTTTTCATGGGTTTCTATATCTCCTTTTTGTGATGTATCTATTTGAGTTGTTTGCCCAATAGGTGTGTTTGCCTGACTTGTGGGAGTTTTTAAAATAAATTTTGGATATAAGACCTTTGTCAGGCTGATTGTATTATGAATATTTTACTCGGTCTTTGGCTTGTCTATTTTTGTAACTATGTCTTTTGATAATAGGTGTTTTTATTTTCATGAAGTTTATAATTGGTCATTTTTTTCTTTTGTGCTTATTTATGTGTTCTCTCTAAGAAATATTTGCAAGCAAGTTTTAAAATCTATAGTTTGGTTCTTATATTTGGGTCTATGAAGATCTTGAATTAATTTTTCTGGGTGGTATGAGGTAGGGGTTAAGATGCATTTTTTTCACATTTTTGTGCAATTATTTGAACACAATTGAAAAATAATTTCTTTCCAAATTGAATTACTTTGGTACTTTAGCAAAAACCAATTAATTATATATGTCTAATTTCTGAACTATTTATTCTATTTCATTGATCTGTTTGATGATCCCTATATCAATACTACACTAGCTGGAACACAATAGTCTGAAAATAGGTAATACAAGTCTTCCATTTTTGTGTTCTTTATTTTAATTGTTGAATATTTTAATTACTTTGGATCCTACATATATATGCATGAGTTAATTTCAACTAGTTAGTTTCTTTAAAAAAAAAAAAAAGGCCACCTGGGATTTTGATTGAAACTACACTGAGTCTGTAGTTTAACTTGAAGAGAAGTGACTATTTTAACAATTTTCAGTCTTCCAATCCACGAACATGGTAACTCTCTCTGTTTCTTTAGAAAGTTTTTCATATTTTCTTTTCAGTGTAGAGCTTTCACTCATATTTAAGAGCTTATTCTTAAATATTTTAACTTTTAATTCTATTATAAACTGAATTTAATTTTTTCATTTCGCATTTCATTGTTTGCTGCCAGTAGGTAGAAATACAATTGATTTTTTTACACCTTGACCTTGTATCTGGCAATCATTCAAATTTACTTATTCTAACAGTATTTTTTCATAGGCTCCTATGGATTTGGGTATAAATAACTACTTTATCTGTGCATTAAGAATTTTACTCTATCTGGTCCAATCTTTATGCCTTTCATCCTTGTGTTTCCTATTGTACTGACTTGGATTGTCTGCATAGTGTTGAGCATGTGTGGACAAGAGGCATCCTTGCCTTGTTCCCGACCTCTGGAGGAAAGTGGTCAATGTTCTATTGTAAATTATGATGTTAACTTCAGACATTTTGTAGATGCCTTTGCAGACTAAGGATGTTTTGTCTATCCCTATTTGGTTAACTGCTATTTATAATGAATAGGTGTTGAATTTTGTCACAAGCTTTTCTTCCTGCACATATTGAAGTGATTATATGGTCCTTTTTTGATAATTTGATTGAATTTTTTTCCCTTTTTTTTTTAATCCTCGCCTGAGGATATTTTATCCATTGCTTTTCAGAGGGAGTGGAAGGGAGAGANTTTATAATGAATAGGTGTTGAATTTTGTCACAAGCTTTTCTTCCTGCACATATTGAAGTGATTATATGGTCCTTTTTTGATAATTTGATTGAATTTTTTTCCCTTTTTTTTTTAATCCTCGCCTGAGGATATTTTATCCATTGCTTTTCAGGGGGAGTGGAAGGGAGAGAGAGAGAAACTTCAATGTGGGAGAGACACATGGATTGGTTGCTTCCCGCACACACCCCAACTAGGGCTGGAGATCGAGCCTGCAACTGAGGTATGTGCCCTTGGCAGGAATTAAACCCAGGACTCTTTAATCTGTGGTCCAGGCTCTAACCACTGAGCCAAACTGGCTAGGGCAGTTGATTGACCTTTAAGGGCTAATTAAACCTATCTAGCATTCCTAGGATTAAATCCCCACTTGGTTGTATGTCCAGCTATTTTATGTAGTCCTGGATTTGACTTGAAAATATTCTGTTAATAAAACTTAAGTCGATATTCTGGAGAATGTTGATCTCTGATTTTCTTTTCTTGAAATATTTTTATCAGTTTTTATTACCAGGGTTCTGCTGGCCTCATTCAGTGAGCGGGAAAGTATATAAGTATTTCCTCCTTCTGTCTTATCTTAAATAACTTGTGTATATATATTTATCCATAAAATTTTGATAGAATTCACAAAAGAATTCATTTTGGCATGAAGTTTTTTTAGTGGTGATGGTATTTTTTTTTTAATTTTATTGAGTTTATTGGGGAGACATTGGCTAATAAATTTACATAAGTTTTAAGCGTACAATTCTATGATAGATCATCTGTATATTGTATTGTGTGTTCTCCATCCAAAGTCAAGTCACTTTTGAGCACCATTTAGCCCCCCTTTACCTTTTCCTACCTCCCCCACCCTCCTTTCCCTTTTCTAATCGCCACACTGTTTCCTTTGTCTATGAGGGTTTTTTACTTAATCCCTTCACCTTTATACCCAACACCCCTCCCCTCTGAGAGTTGACAGTCTGTTCTCTACATCTATGAGCCTATTTCTGTTTTGTTTGTTNCCTTTATACCCAACACCCCTCCCCTCTGAGAGTTGACAGTCTGTTCTCTATATCTATGAGCCTATTTCTGTTTTGTTTGTTTGTTCCACCTGGTATGCTGCAATTAATTGTCAGTTGTGTTGCTTAAGCTACAGAAATGTATTGTCTCACAGTTCTGGAAGCTAGAAGTTCCAGGCC